CTAGCAGTGTAGGAAGATTTCTTTTTTTCTATGAGCATTTGTTGTTTTTTGTATTAATGATAGCCATTCTGATGAGGGTAAGATGAGATTGCAATACAGGTTTGTTTGTTTTTTTTTGTACCAGGGGTCAAACTTGGGACCTTGAGCTTGTGAGGCAGGTGGTGGAACCACAGAACTAAATCCCTGGCCCGCAATTGAGTTTTGATTTCCATTTCCCTAATGGTTAAAGATGCTGCACATGTTTTCACAAGCTTATTGGCCATTTGCACTTTTTTGAGAATGTGTATGATTGAGCTGTTTGTTTTTTTTTGGGGGGGTGTTTTCAAAATTCTTTATTCTAGATATTGTCAGAAGAGTAGCTTGCAAAGATTTTCTGTCATTCTGTAGGCTGTCTCTTCACTCTGTTGGTTGTTTCTGTTGCTGTGCAGAAGCTTTTTAATTTGAGGTAGGCCCATGTGTTGATTCTTGTTATTTCCTGTGGTACTGGAGTGCTATTCAGAAAGTCTTTGTCTGTGCCTATGGCTTCAAGTCTTCCTCCATGTTCGCTTTTAGCAGTTTCAAAGTTTCAAGACTCATGGCTAGGTCTTTGAATTATTTTGCTTTGATTTTTGTACAAGATGAGATAGGGATAATCAAGTTCCTCTTTGGAAATCCAGCTCTCCTAGCACCATTTGCAGAAGAAGCTGCCTTTTCTTCAGTATGTTTTGGCTCCTTTGTCCAGAATCAGATGGTTGAATTTGGATGATTTTGTTTCTGTGACCTCTATTTTATATTCTGTTGATCTGTGTGTTCTCTTTTTGTGCCAGTGGCACGCGATTTTTGTTACTATGGCTTTGTAGTATAATTTGAAACTGGTCTTGTGTTATCTCCAGCCTCTTTTAGCTCAGGATTGCTTTGGCTATTCTGACTCGTTTCCATACGGATTTTAGGATTTTTTTAAAAAAATTGAGTTCTGTGAAGAATGTCATTGGAATTCTGATGGGGACTGCAAACTGTAGATCACTTTTGGTAACGTGGCCATTTAAATTATTTTAATTCTGCCAATCCATGAACATGGAAGGCCTTTCCATCTTCTAGCAGCCTCTTTAATTTTCTTTAGTGTTCTGTAATTTTCATGGTAGAGATCTTTCACATCCTTAATTGGTTTCTAGGGTTTTTTTTAAAAGTTATTGTAATAAAATTGTTTTCCTACTTTCTCAGGTGGCTCATGGAATATAGAAAAACTCTTGACTTGTTAAGTATCAATTTTCTATCCTGACATCTTTGCCTGTTCATTTTATATTATTTATAAGCTTTTCCCCAGTTGACATCTGGAGCTCTACTTCATTCTTTTAAATGACTACACTGTGCATGTGTTAGTTATTTGCTGCTGTGTAACAAATTACCTTAAAATTTGTTGGCCGGGGTGGGGGGGTAGGGGGTGGGGTGTTAGCTCAGTGGTGCCCCTGCCTGTCTGCCTCACAAGTGCAAGGTCCCCAGTTCAATCCCTGGCACCAAAAATAAAAACAAAAAGAACTTATTGGCCTAAGTGAACATTTATTGGCTCATAGTTTATGTGGGTCAGGAACCCAGGTTCCCCATTTAACTGGGCCTTCTGGCTCAGATTCACAAGGCTGCGATCAAGGTGTTGGCTGCGGTGGTCTCACGGGGACGTGACCCGAGTGCGACCCGCTTCCAGCACACACATGCAGTGCAGTGGTTGGCAATCTTCCCTCCTTGCTGGCTATAAGCTGCAGGCCACTCTCAGCTCTTTGTTGTGTGGGCCTCTTCCAAGGCAGCTCATAGTGAGACAGCCTGCTGCATTGGTCCAAGCCAGCAAGAGCAAGAGGGATGTCACCATTGGTAATGCTAACGGGTTTACTGGTGTTTCCTCAAAACTTAAAAAATGGGACTTCAATAGCAAGAGTTCTCTGCAGATTGTTAGTTAAGGATTGTGACTAGTGTCCTTCCAAGATGTGGGGACACATGCATTCAGAGGAAGGAGGTGTCAAGAATGACGAACTTCCCGGTCAGGAGACATCACCGGGGGCTAAGGATGAGGCATGGGATGGTTTCTTCTTTACAGCCTGTTGACATCTTTTCAGGTTTCTGGCCCCAGCAATTATGAGATACTAAATTTACATTTTGTGAAGCTGCCTAGTCATTTGTTATGGCCACCACTGGAAATTAACACAACTTCTTTTGTAGCCAGTCTCAGAAGTAGCATTCTATCAGTTTTGCCATGCTTTGTTTTGTTGGCTACAAGGAAGCCTATAGGTTCAGCCCAAAGTTTTTTGTTGTGTTTTAGTGTTTTTTTTTGTACCAAGGATCAAACCGGGGACCTTGCGCTTGTGAGGCAGGTGTCAGTACCACTGAGTTAAGTCCCCGGCCCCCAGCCCAAAGCTGTGAACATCTGGGAGGGATCATCAGGAGTCACTTTAGGAACTGTCCACCATAGTACACCATAACCTGAGTATAAGAGCCACAATTTCTTTATCCATTCTCTTCCTCAGGACATTATAAACTGTCCCTGTTTCACCATAACAGAATTCTAGAGAGAATATTCTTGAACACGTCTTATACATTTTCAAGCTTCTGTAGGATCGATAATCAAAGTTGGTAAACTGAGGAACTTTGGTAGGTTTTTCCAAATTGCCCTCCAAAGTGGTTGTACCAATCATATGCTCCTATGGTTGATGTTTGAAAGTTGATGTTTTCTTATATTCTCATCAATACTTGGTACAACCAGATTTTAAAACTTTCATTAATCTAAAGGGCATAAAATATCTTCTTTTGCCCTTATTAATTTGTAGGCATTTAAAAACATTTTGGGTATGAATACTTCGTGTTTTTCTAGGTCATCTCAATCTGTGGCATGTTAAGGTTGGTTTACATTTTTTGTCATATAGAATCTATAAATGTATAGATGTCTAAGTACATTTTACAGCTTTTGGTATCATTTTAAGAACGTTTTCCATGTTTCAATGTCAAAGGTTTTTTTTTTTGTACTGGGAATCCAACTCGGACCTTGCACTTGTGCGGCAGGTGGTGGCACCACTGAGCTGAATCCCCAGCCCTCAAAGGTATTTTTAATGTAATTTAGAATTGATTCTGTGTATGTTGTATTTATATTTTTACTTAATTCTGCCATTCCCTTTTGTAATTCATCCTGTATCCATTTGGTTGTATTAATCACATTTTCTTCGCTTTGCTTTCCTTTTATAGTGTTCTAAAGTTCTCTACTTTTATCCCTTCAACAGTTTTCCCAAACTGTTTTTTACAATGTCTGAAACAAAGTTCTCCTGACCATGTAGCTCACCTTTTGTACATTTTCCCCCTGCTCAGGATACTCTAGTTTTGTCCAGATGTTTAGCAATTGTTGTTCACCATTGTTTTCTGTAACTTACCTCTCTTGACTGGATTCATTAGAGAAGCCTTTTAGCTGTTCTGTACACAGGCATTTGTTCATAATTAACTGTATGTCTGAGATCATTTTAATTTTGCCTCCTCCTCAATGGCAGTTCAGCACTTAGGTTGACCCTTTCCTTCAGTAGGCTGTGTCTTGGTTGCTGCAGATGGAACATGGAAGGCTTTAGTGTCTTTCTGAGGGACCTGTTTTCTCAGAGCTTTGACATTTTTCTCCTTTCTGTTCAGTGTTACAGTTCAAGTATGTTGTGTGGGTTTGTCTTATGCATTGCTAGTCTGGGGTCCCCTCAAAGGAATATGTGTTAAAGCCTCTGTTCCCAGCTTGGAGCTCCTGGAAACTTTGAGGCAGGGCTTCACGGGAGGTCACCGGGCCCCTGGGGCCATGTTCTTGGAGGAGACAGGGCAACCCCAGGTCTTCCTCCTCCCCGCCAGAAGAGCAGCTTTGCTGTACCACAATTCTCATTGTGATGGCTGCTGCAGGCCCAAGGTGACAGACAAAGACCCGAAAGCTGTGAGCTGAAAGCAAGCCTTCTCTCTGTGGTCTTTCTTATAGCTGGAAGCTGGCTAACGCCTACCCACTGGGGATTCAGTGGGCCTCTCCGTGTGAGGCCTTGTGTCTGTGAATGCCAACTCAAGTCTTCCCTGGTTGCGCCTGTTTTTCTTCTGTTGGGATCTCATTACACATATTTTGAGGCCATCTCACTACCCTTGTACTGTAACTTTCATTTCATATTTTCTATTTTTTATTTCTGTGGTATTCTAAGTGTGCCTTCCCATGGACAGATCTCATGCCAAAGCTTTGTCTGCATTTCTGATTATATTCTTCATCTCTAGAATGTCGACATGGTTCAAGTCTTCATTCTTCTTAAAATTCCTTTGGTAGACTTTTTACTGCTTCTTTAATCTCTTCAAATGTGTGAGGCTCCCTCCCCTCTGAATCTTAAACGATCACTGCCACGAGCACAGGGTGGGAGAATCCAGTCCTGTGTGCTCTGCCGTGGGCACCTCAAAGGGATGAGCTGCTGCACAGGTCACTTCCTTTTCCTTCCCAGCACCTGGAGGGAGGAGATGGCTTTCTACCCAGCTCCATCTACAGTTCTTACCTTTGGTCAAATATTTTCACAGGAAAGAGGAAACTTTGTTTCCCCCTGAAGGACTTGCCCTGCTCGTCCTCTGTGACAGCCTGATGTCTTTGAATGTACCAGGTAGTTACCCGGGACTCAATCCCAAAAGTCCCTGGGGTAGTTCTCCAGTGTGGTGGAGGCCTTGGAATGGTACCAGGTGATGAAATAATGTTGGTCTAAAACTCATTCAACTACTAAGAACATGCCAAAGAAAGCCATATTTTTTTTTGCCATATTATTTATATACAAAAATGAAAAGATTAACTGAGTATTACAAAGTAAAACTCCAAAGAAAAGTGATTTAAAAACAAATAGTTTAATTTCATTTTTATCTGGAAATAAAAAGTTTAAAATGAATTAACACTTTGACATGTCAGCAAGTGTCATTTTTATATTACCCTTATTCAAAATGTGAAGATACAGGACCTCAACGACTCTCTGGAATCAGAGGTTCCCACTGCAGATGAAAACAGGCTTGTTCTAAAATGTCAATCTATTAAGTATTCCATGTTTGCTTTTTATTTTTTCATAGGGAATATTTTATAGAAATAGTATAAAATAAGGCAGACTTTTGGAAGTTCAATTATAAAATATCAGGAAAAAATGTTAAGATCTAATTTTTCTTTGCTAAACCGAGAGGGGGACAGTTTTATTTTGGGGTGTCACCGGTGAATGTGCCAGATGCCCAGCTCTGCTTTGGAGCAGGATTTGGTTGCAGCAGAAGTAGGGAAATATCATCTCCTTTGGCTCTCTAGGGAAAGACCCTACAAGAAGACAGTTTTTTCCAATTAGCATCAATCAGAAATGAGTTTAACATACACAGATATTTCTATAGTGCAATAAAATGTCATTTTATGATATTTTAAATTTGCATCATGAAAATAAGTCTGTACACCAAGTAATGCAGGTTTAATGAATATGAATCATGTAAATTTGGTCACGGCATTTGAAGTTGGCTTTGGCTTTGAAGTTTTAAATTCATAAAAAATATTGCATTTCTAATAAATAAAACATTTTAATTGATAATCAACTTCAAAAATTTCTTTTTGTTTCATTTGCTACTCAATTTGAAGAGAGAGAAGTCACTTTCAGTAGTGTTCCAAAGCGAGTGATTGCACCCTGTAGGATGTGAAAATGGTCGCTGAAGATCCGATTGCCACTAAACCGTGAGTGCCGCCACAGCTGAGGAGTTGCCGCGAGACAACCGTCATTGGTAGGAAGTCCCACGGTCCCTCTCGGCTCCCGCCCTTCTGCAGCTGATGCAAACTCTGGTTCTTAGCCTTCCAGAAAAGCCCCACAGGCCCCGCTTGTGGCCCAGGCTTACTCCATGGTGTCGGATGGTGGCCACAGAAGGCCACTCGTGTCCCCGTGTGCTTCACAGTGCTGCAGAGAAGACAATGGCTCCGAATGGTGGCTGCCCTCAGGACTTCCAGGTGAAGGAGGGCAAAGCGGCAGGGCGCTGGGCACATCCTGTGCTATTCAGGAGGGGGTCGGAGGCTCCGCAGCTTCCTTTCGTCCAGTCCTTTCCAGTATTTAAAGTTGTTGTCAAGGTGCTGCATTAAATCTGGCAGGTCAACGAAAGCTGGAGGAAGAAAGGAACATGGCAGCATTCACAGCCAGGGTTTACTGGTTTAGCCTTTTGTTTTTCTTTGTGGTGCTGGGGATGGAACCCAGGGCCTTGCATGTACAGGGCAAGTGCTCACCTACTGAGCTGCACCCCAGCCCTGTGTTTGGGTTAAGGAGACAGTGTGACAGAGGAGGACAGAGGCCGTGGGGACCTGCACGATGCCACAGAGGAACGGGCAGCTGTGTCCTGTCCTCACCCTGTGGCACCCTCAGGAAGGAGGTGTGGGGTCCTCTCCACTGCTTCTGCCCCCTGCAGGCCCCGAGAGAGCAGTTTGTGTGGTGGGGACAACAGCCCGTGCTCTCTGGGTACAGGGCTTTAGAGTTAACACTGTTGGCTGAGTCCTAACCCTTCTAAACTGTGACTCCTGGGTCACCGCCCTCCTAACAGGTAGAGACAGATACCTACATCTGAGGGTGGGCAGGGAAGAGGGGAGGCCGTGGATACCCAGCCTCTCTCGCCAGTCTAAGCCCCCAACAGTGGGTGAGCTACTTGCTGGGGAAGGTGTGGCTCCCTGTCACCTGGAGGGAGAGGTGTGGTGAGTTTTCTTACCATCCCAGGCATCAAACATGTCTGTGATGAAGTAGTCGATGAAAGAGATCTGGGATTTAGGGATGCTGCATGTGTTCCTGTCAAAGACCGGCATCACCACAGGCAACTCCTTCTGCTTCTCTTCATCGGTCTGCAAAGCAGAGAACCCTGTGATCTCCAGTCTCCAGCCTCGAGCTCCCCCTGAGCCCCATGGTGCAGCAGTGCCACCCCCAGGGGGAACCCACACTGGCTGCTGGATCCTGAGTGGCTTGTTGAGGCTTCTCAAGACTTACAGAGCACCACAGTCAGCCCTGGCCATCCTCCCCACTAGTGCCTGTCATGTCCACCCTGGGCTCGGAGGCACAGAGGATGCACAGAGGGAAAGGCCTGGGCTGCTTCCCAGCTGGAGAGACCTGAGCTACTAAGTGAGAGAAGCAGTCAGTAACCAAAACCTCCCAACAAGGAAGGCCTAGGACCAGATGGCTTCATGGGTGACTTCTATCAACCACTCAAAAAATTCACCTCAGTCCTTCTCAAACCCTTTCAAAAAACTGAACAGGAGTGAACAATTCTTAGCTCCTTCTGGGAGGCCAGCAATAGCCCCATAACAAAGTAGACAAAGATACTAGAAGAAAACAAAACTATGGGACGAAATCTCTTACGAATATTGATGCAAAAACCCTCAACAAAATATTAGCACAGGCCCCAGTACATTAAAAAGATTCTATACTATGATCAAGTAGAATTTATTCTTGGAATGTAAGGACAGGTAGCATATGAAAATCAATGCAACGTACTTTATAAAGAGAACAAAAACACATGATTTGAAATGGTAAATTTTATCACACAAAACCTGCCTGCTAAAGTGATTATACTGTGTTACACACTGCTCACTGAGACCTGATATTAACTGCTTCATAACTTCACCATTTGGTGGTGCCAGGGTTTGTACGTGTGGCCCTCTTCTTGGGGGATGGTGGTGGTGATGGTGGTGGCAGTGGCATTTCATTATGGTTTTAATTTGTCCCCAACAACTCATGATGTAAGGCACTTTCGCATGTGATGATTGGCCATTCAGAGTATCTTTTGTGAAATAATTACTAAACTATGTACTTGTTCTTTTAGCTGTGTCTGGGCAGAATTTTTGAATTTTGATAAGGTTTATTTTATTAAATTTTCTTTTTAGGTCTGTTGTCTCCTGTACCCACCCCCCAAAAAAAATCTATGTCCATTTTTAAGTCAATGAGGATATTCTGCTGCAGTTTTCTCTAAAAGCTCTGACTAGCTTTTGTATTCAACGTAAGGTCAACACTGAACCTAGCCAATGAATTTGATTCAGTTCTCATTTGTTTTGTTTGTGAACTAAGGTACTGCTATATATGATCTAAACTATGGTCTGTTCTCTTCTGTTCCACAAATGTTTTTGTTATCATATAACTGTAACATGTTATATACATATATATGTATGTATATATATATATATTTTTTTTTTGGTACCAGGATTGAACTCGGGTCCTTGTGCTTGCAAGGCAGGTGGCGGAACCACTGCGCTAAATCCCCCGCCCTGTAACACACTATCTTGATGACTCTTAAGTTCTGAGGAAGGACAATGCAGGTTGTCCAACCTTTTGTTTTCTAGGTTTGCTTTTGCTTATACAAGGTTTTTGGTGTGTCCACCTATGATTCAGACTGAGTTTGTCAGTCTCTCCTAAAATACTCAGACCAAACCCCTGCTGGGACTGTGACAGCCCTGAGTGGTCATGGGTCTTGGGCACAGGAACCTTTGCCTGTGGGTATGGCAGATGGCCCCCTTTTCTTGGGTGTTTAATTCTTTAGCTATACTTTGTGGGTCTTGCTGTAATGGTCTGGTCATTTATTAAATTTACTCCTAAGTCATTTTTGCTTCTTACTGATACTGTGTTCTCAGTTGTTCTCTGATCACTTGCTGCTAGTGTGGGCAAGGCTGATGCCATATTGTAGAGTGCTAGGAATGGGCAGGCCACTCTCGGTCCCAGCTGTAGGGATGATGCATTCATACTACCAGGAAATATAACAGAAACTGTACAGATGCTCTTTTAAAAGTAATTTCCTTCCATCCGAGTTTGTGTGGTGAACGGACACTGAATTTAGTCAGACACTTTGACCGTACCCTCAAAAACAATCTTATAGTTTTTCGTGTTTATTCAATTAGTAGAGTAATGGATTTTTCTCATATTAAACCAAGCTTGCCTTCCTGGAAGAGCCCCTGCTTGGTGGTGACACATCTTCCTCTTTGCATGCTGTGCAGTTAAGCTCCTGAGGACACCGGCTATGGTTCTCACCTGGTGAACAGGGTAAGAATGGCCTCATAAGTGAGTTGGAAAATGTTCTTACTTTCTCTATTTTCTGATAAAATCTGAAAGACTGGCATTTTTCCCCTTGAATGTTTGGTAAGATTTCTTAGTTTTCTTTGTGGGAAAGACTTTAAAATGGGGTTACTTGAGTTATTTTTTCTCTTGTTAGTTCTGGAGTTTTCAAGGAATCTGTCCATTTTAGTTGTCAGTTGTGGTATTAAGTTTTATTACTAGCGATGTTGTTTATTTTTGTAGTGATGGATTTGAACCCAGCCCTCTTGTGTAGGTGGCAAGTGCTGTAACACAACACTGTAGCCTCAGCCCTGGTTACACTTGTAATGTCTGTAAGACTGACTGTGACAATTCTGATTCACTTTCGTAATTAGTCTAGCTATATTTACCAATTTCGTCAAATAATCAATTTTGGACTCTGTTTTGTATTGTTTTCTAGTTCCTTTTTTTTTTTCTTTTGAGACAAGGTCTCACTGTATAGCCCAGGTTGGCCTCAAATTTGGGGTGATGCTCCTGCCTTAGCCCCGACTGGCAGGATTACAGGCAGGATTACAGGCGTGCACCACCATGCCTGGCTATTTCCTTATTTTTTTTGCTCTTTGTTTTCTTATGCTTGCTTTGGATTTTTCTTTCCAGAGTCTTGCGGTGAGTCAAAGTCACTAAGTTTAAGGCATTCCTGTTTTCTAATAATGAAATAAAATTATAAACCTTAAACACTGTTTTAAATACATTGAGCAACTCTGACATTTTAATTTCTCTTATATTTGACTCATGGGATATTTGAAGCATGCTGTTTAATTTCTAAATATTTGGTACAGTATTTTCTTACATATCTTGTAAATGCTTTCTTACTTGCACTGTGGTCGAGAACATATCCATTTGTTTTCAGTTTACTGAAGTCTTTTGGGGCCCAGCATAGGTTCGACCTTGGTGAGCACATATTTGTATTTGCAGACTTCTGTAAATGTTAACTGAGGTAGTTGATTGTGGTATACAAATCAGCGGAATCTGGCTGTTCCATCAGCTCTTGAAGGGAGGTGTTAAAATCTCTGATGAAAGAACTAGCTCTTTCTTTTGCAGCACTTGTTTTCAAACTCTGATATTAGGTTCATATACATTTATCATTATAAAGGGTCTGTCTGGCAATGTCCCGTTGGGTCCTGATGTCTATTTTGTGCAATACTGATATGGCCATTTCAATCTTATAGTTGGGGAGTGGTTTTTAAGTCCATTCTGATGAACTCTTTTAATGGAAGTGTTTAGTCTGACACTGAACGAGACTGACATGGTTATAGCTGCCATTTTACTATTTTACTTTCCTGCCTTTGTATTATTTTACTATATTAGGTTTAGTAGCTTCTAAACTACAGTGATTGCTCTGGGGATTACAATGCGCATCCTTCCCACGTGACTCTACTGAGCTAACTGGCATTCTGCCTCAAATGTAGAAGCCCAGGACCTGTGTAACTCCATTCACCTTCTCTTTTCCTTTATGCTGTAGCTGTCTTTTATCTTACAGATATGTACATTATATACCCTACAATGCAACGTTAGAACTTTTGCTTAAAATATCAATATGTATTTAGAGAACAAAGAAGTCTTTTATAGTTAAGCAGAAATTTACCATTTTTGCTGTTTTTCATTCCTTCTTGGAGATCCAAGCTTGAATCTACGATCAGTTCCTTTCAACCCTAAGAACTCACTTTTCTTATCTGAGAATATGTTTATGTGCCTTGATCCTTACAGGATGTTTTTACTGGATATAACATTCTGGGTTAACAGCTTTCTTCTAATAGCAGTTTAAAGATGATTTAGTGTTTTCTGATCTTCAGAGTTTCCAACAAGAGGGCAGAAAACCTGAGTCACTTTTTTCTTACAGTCAGCCACAGAAAAAGGACTTGTTCTTGACCCAACTCACGTGTCAGCCCTCACTGGGCTTCTTGTTTTGTATCCATGTTATCAAATTTGGAAAAATCTTTCTAACATTGTTTTCAGTTTTTCGGAGAAATCTGTCAACTCAGGATTCTATACCCAGCAAAAAATATCCTGTGAGAGCAAAGATGAACACATTCTCAAGTAGGGAAAAACAAACAGAATTCACTCAGGAAATGTACAAGAAATGCTCTTCAAGACCAATTTCTTTCAGAATCCTATGTTCTACTTTTAAGTACATTATCCCTTGAGGTTTCTGTGTGTGAAAGGGCTTATAGAGGCGGCACCTGACCTGAGAAAAGTACTCCTCTGAGATGCGTGCGGCCCACTCGATGCACTGCTGCAGAGGCCGGCAGGGGTTGGAGACGTCCGCACACTTGATCAGCATGCGCTTGATGAGCACCCGGTTCTCTGGAGCCTGGAGCAGAGTGTGGATGGCTTCCCTGTCTTTATCAGTTTCCTGAAAAAGGAGTAGAATCAAAAGAGATCCAAATGGGGCCTCCGTGCCCAGCCCTCTCCTACTGCCCTCCTGCCTCCCCAGGGCACAGTGCTGAGAGCCCGGGCTTGCCAGAGGGTGAAGGGCAGGAGCAGAGATGTGGCAGGAGGAACAGGTGGGGGTGGCGGAGCTGCCTTTCCTTTCTGTTCACTATCTCCTCCACGCAGTAAGAACTCAGACTGGTTTTATCTTTTTATTATATTTACTAGAAAAAAGCATGGACTGAACACAAAGGTTTCTCAGTCCTCACAACAGAGGGCCCTGTGGTCCACAGCTCCCTGCTCTCATAGCCCTGTCCTGCAACAGGTGTGACAGGGGCAGTGACCGGTCCAAAGCTATGCAGCTGAGCCCGGCTAAGAGCGGTGTGGATGCCCATATTCTACACCACACATCGGTGTGAAGGTCCCAGACATGGTCCTTCCTCAACACAAGTCCCTTACCTCATTTTCCTCCAGCACTGCTAAAGGCTTGTTGACACTGTTGATGAACTTGTTGACGTGTTCGAAGTGCTTTGTCATCTCGGTGGCCAGGACCATGTCGATGATGCTCTGGCGCAGCACCCGGTAGTCATTCCTGTTGCAGAGGACAAAGGAGAGGCTGCTACAGGTTATAATCCAGACAGACCGGCCTGGGAAACAGTCTGTGCTCCAGGCTACCTGTCCACTGAAGTCGCACTTTAAGAGATGCAGAAATGAGGAGTTAATGCCTGGATCATTAGGAAGGGGAAGTTAAAGTCAGAAGTCTCTGGGCTTTAAAGTCAGGCTTTAGAACTGCAGTGTCTATCTTATCAATTTTTAGTGTGATGCACACAGTTCCCAGAAGACAGGATGGGGGGGTCAACATCTGTAATCATAGCTGTTTGGGAGGCTGAGACCATACAGAATATGTACATAAGAAATACTGAAGGAGCTTCACAAGTGCGAGGTCCTAAGTTCGATCCCCGGTACCAAAAATCAAACAAACAAAAGAAATACTAAAGGGAATCCAAGAAATACTAAATGGAGTCCTTCATGATGAAATAAAAGGATCCTACACAATCTGATAGAGTGCAAAAAAAGGCCTATTGCAAGTTCAAGGCCAGTGGGCATTGGCCTTGTCTTAAAATTAAACTATGAAGTGATGAGGGTGGATAGGCGGTAGTCGGGGAGAACAAAGACTGTTCTCTTTAGGACCACAGATGGCTGTCTGCATTAGGAATGTGCCCTGAGGCAGCAGATCTAGTGCAGGGATAGAACACTTGCCTAGTGAGCCTGAGGCCGTGGGTTCAATCCCTACTGCCACACATACACATAAAAGTACCTTGCATGGAGGTTCCTCAAGACCCAACTATTTCAGTGCCCAGCGAACTTTAAGGGCAGACTTTGCGAGAGGTGAGAAAAGTCATAGGGAGTACTTGGACCTCTTCATCTGGCTCTTGTATTCTTTTTTTCTTTTTCATTTTAACTTTTTTTTTTGGTACCGGGGATTGAACTGGGAACTTTGCACTTGTGAGGAAGGCAGCGGAACCACTGAGCTACATCCCCAACCCTCATTTTAATATTCTTAATGTTTTGTTTTCTGAGACAGGGTCTCATTATGCAGTTCAGACCGGCCTTGAATTATGTAGCCCAGGCTGGCCTCAAACTTGAATGACCCTCCTGCCTCAGCCCGAGTACTGGGATTATAGGTGTGCACCACACCAGGCTAAAATTTTGTTTTTCAAAGAGGCAATCCATATGATTCAAAAGGTCCAAAAGGGTATGAAGCAAAGTCTCTACTCAGTCCCTTTGTAAGTCATCCAGTTCCTTTCCCAAGACAAACCCGTTAGTAGGCTCTTATGTGCTTCCAGGGAAAAATCTCCAAACAAGTATGAATAAATTAGGTCTATCTCTGAAATCCTCGGATACAGCAGAAGGGAGTTTTGTGAAATCAGCATACCATTTAAAGTCCAAATTGTTACTCATGACAATGCTTTTTCTTTTTTCAGTTGACATGTATTAAATATCTATTTGATACTAGGCACTGGGTTAGACACAAGGAATAGTTATGAACAAGATACATGAAGTCAGGTATGGTGGTGCACACTTGTAATCCCACTACTGTAGAAAGCTGAGGCAGGAGGATCACAAGTTTGAGCCTAGCCTGGGTCACTGAGATCCTGTCTCAAAATAATAACAAAGGGCTGGGATGTAGCCAAGCATGAAGGCCCTGGGTTAGATCCCTAGTATCACACACACAGACACATGACCTCTGAGACCCGACAGCTTTAGAATGTAGGCAGATGTCAAACATTTTGTTGTTCTTCGTTATTGGTGATGCTGGGGATGGAACCCAGGGCCTTGTGCATGCTGGATAAGTGACCTATCACTGAGCTATGTTATGTTCTCTGCACCCAAACAATACAGTGTTTGCTTATGGGTTGAATTTGGGACCTTGCACTTGTGAGGCAGGCAGTGGAACCACTGAGCTGAACCCCCAGCCCTCCAAACAATAAAGTTATAAAAAATGAGACCTGTGCAGTGAAGGAACTTGGGGCTGAATAGTGCAATGGGTCAGAGGTGGGAGACCACTGCTGCTTTGATGTCTGTGAGCTCAAGATACAGCTCATACACCATTTCCTGGGATTTCAAATACGAAGGCCTGAGCCTGAGGACGCTATGCTGGGAGGTGAAAGTCACGAAGGACTGCCAGCTGGGCACGGGACCACACCAAGTGTCCAGAGCTGGCATATCTGTGTGGACAGGGGTGGAAAGTGGGGTGGTGGCCCAGGATGGGAAGAGTTAGGGGAACGAGAAGGGGCTGTACCTGAGTGTTTTGGGGCTAACAAAAATGTTCTAAAATTGGTGTGGTGATGGCTGCATAGCTGTGACTAAGCCACGATCTGCTTTACCTGGGAGAAGTGTTGGGTATGTAACTTATGTTCCAATAAAGCAGTTTAAAAGAGCAACGGGGCTCTCACACCGGCAGGCCCGCTCTTACCTGTCCATGTTTTTAAAGATGTTGCACCTGTCGTTGCCCACGGTCAGCTGGAAGGCCAGGGCCACGTGGTGGCTCTCCAGCACGGCCAGGTCGTTGTATAGCAGGGCCAGCTCGCTGCCTGCATTGCACAGGAAGGAGTTGGTTCTCCCAGGGTGGTCCACGTCATGAATGGTGGCTGCGATGAGTGCAGCGGCCTTGTCAACGGGATCTAAAGTTTCCTGAAAGCAAGAGATCTTTTAAAACCAGGGATGGCACCAAGGCAAGGAAGCCTAAGGTACGGTGTTCTCTCTTCCCTATACAATGGTGACTTGGTTCACAAATGCTTTTGTTTGCCAACAATTTGGTTCACAAACAGAAGCATTTGGCAAAATTCTGTTTTTGTTTGTGAACTGCATCAGGTGGCAAACATGACAATGACCATCTTTAACCACACACACACAAATGTGGCCATCTTTTCCAAAATCATAGAACAAATTAAAGTTCATGATCTGAGACACCACCATAGGGAAGGTAAGATGAGCTCAGATTTCTAAGGAGAGCATACTGTGTGAGAAACCCATTTTCCTATCTCCACTCTGAAGCCATGAAGTGTCTGCATGTTTGATCAGGAAACAGTAAGGTAAGGGGTTACCGGAACACAGGGAGGCGGCACTTCCTCAGCCAGTCTTTCTGCAGTCCCAGCACCAAAAAATGGTACTGGCTTAGACCAACATGAACCATTACTAAATAGGAGACAGAACCTTTAAAAATATGTATTAATGGGTGACCGGCCTAATCTTCCCCCTCTGGAGGTGCTGCCTTCTGTCAAGCTAAAGTCAGGGTTTTGTGAAAGTGACAAAAGATCTGCAAGTTTTTCATCTTTGTTCAAGGTCCTAAAAAAGTCTGTAACATGGGAAAATGCCTTCAATGGCCAAAGAATCTACCTGTCCAGCTAGGTTTTGAAGAAATTGATAATTTAAACATTGTCCTGATATTGACCTATTTTTCTACCTCTTACATTAGTTTATTTAAAACTTTTTCCCCTAAAGAAACCATCTATTTTAAGGTTTTGGAATACAGATATGTATGTATAGCATTTTCTTGTATAATTTTCTATTTACAATATATGTATTTTTAAAATATTATTTTATTTTTCAATTAGAGTATAACTTTACTATCTTGGTTATTTCAAAGAATCACTTTGCATTATTTGCTCTTACTATGTTCTTTTTCTCTTTAAGAAGTGAAAGTATTTAAATAATTATACTTTTAAATATCTCATTGGCTTTATTTTATAGTTTGATAAATGGATTTTTCATTTGTAGTGGCAATCAATCAATCATACCTATCTGTTTTTGGTACTGGGGATTGAACCCAGGGCCTTCACACTGAGCTACTTCCCCAGCCTTTTTTATTTTTGGAGACAAGGTCTCACTAAGTTTCTCAGGCTAGTCTCAAACTTGCAATCTTCCTGCCTCAGCCTCCTGTGTAGCTGGGATTAATAGACAAGTGGCACTGCATCTGGATGATGTTTTTTATTTACGCATCAGGCGTTCTAGTTCTGTTGTGGTTAGAAGATAGCAGCCTATAAGGTTTTGATGTTTACCAAGAGAGTATGTCCTAGTGTAAGATCATATGTGAAAATATTCTATAGGCACTAAAAAAGAAGGTATATGTCTAATAAATCAGCCTTCTATGTTAACTTATAATTCAGTAGTTTTAACTTTAAAAGGTAAACTCTATGGGAACTATACTTTAATAAATGCTTACACTGTTTTAAGTTAGCACTGACTATATTTGTATATTATCTCTAGTTCAAAAGCAATAAATAACATGTACTAACTCGCATATGATGAATATAATCATGTAGTGCAAACATGTACTAATACAAAAGCAATAAATAACAGCAAAAATTGGGCGCTCTTAACATGCTGATCCGTATGGACAGACATCCCTCCTCGCCCATCGTTGTAACTTATGTGCCAGTCCTCTCTCCGGGTTGGGCCGTGCACAGTGCTGAGCACTTGCCTAGCACACATGAGGCCCTGGTCCCATCCAGGCACTCCAGAAACCAACCCCAGGTGAACTAGAGGGAGGAGGAAGTGGGTAGTTGATGGATACCTGGCTCCACCTCCTGTGGGCCCCTGGCACCCTTTACTGTGTTTTAGACCCTATCACAAAGGACGAAATGGGACCGGGGACACTTGCCCTGCCCTGTGGTTCTGCAGCCATGCCTACCTGGTCCTGCTGAAGTAGTCTGACTCAACTGTCTGGGACACAGAGTGGGAGCAGAGAGAGGAATTCATCTCAGAGAGCATGGAGAGGCAGGACCCCTACCCAGGGGAGTTCTACAGTCTGAGTCCCTGGGGGAGACAGGGCTGCTTCAGAAAGCTCACTGGCAGCAGAGAGTGCAGAGGAGGCCGGACAGGCAGGAGTCCTGGCCCAGGCGCCAATGACAGGGTTCATGGGACATGAGATGGACAGGAGGAAAGGCCAGACAGTAACCAGACCGTGGGGGCTGAGGAGCAGATGACCAGGAAGAATTACAGGGCTCAAGTTGGAACCCTGGCCCCCAAAGATAACCCTATGTGGGCACAGAGTGCTACGGACCCTAGCCCAGTGAAGATGCTGACGAGGTGACATGCAGGCGACTTGCTGTGCTTGCCTGCATGTTCAGTGGGACCCCAGATGAGCAGCCCTTCTGGCTTTCTCCCCATGGACCCAATCATGCTCCCTAAGCTCCCAGAGAAGGGCTGGGAGTAGGTCAGGAATTAACGCAGCTATTCCCTGAGCTCCAGTGTGGCCTCCTGCCTGCTTCCTGGGGTGACCGCACCCTGTGTTGCTGGCTGCACCAGAGCCCCTGCCAAGTGGTCCCAGCCTTGGAAGCTCCTGGCTCTGGTGGAGGCAGGAAGCCTGGGTTCTCCCCACCTGCCCACCCTTAACATGGAGCACAGTGCAGGCTCACCTTTACTCTCTCCCTGGACAGGAAGTAGGCGGTGGCGTGGAGCACGTCGGCAGAATGTGTGGAATTGTGGTAGGGGTTAGAAGAATGGTAATTGGCTTCAATAATTTGTAACCAGGATTTCAGTGTTGCCTCAGAGCAGTTTAGAAATTCACAGATTCCAAAGTGAGCAAACGTTTTGAGACCAAGATAAGTCAGTGGCCTACAGAGAAGAACAGCCATAGTATAAAAACAATGCAAAGAAAGAGGTGAAGCGTCCCGAGCCTTGGAGAGGTTGTTTCAGAGTGAAATCCCAATCAGGTTGTAGCACATGCAAGGCACACATGAGGCCCTGGTCCCATCCTAACCCCCACAGCTTCTGGCCTCAGCCCACTGTGGGTTGAGGTTTGCCACCTGCCCTTCCTGATGCAGATTCCTACTTGCTCCCATGGATTCCTCAAAACAACCCGTTTTTCAGGCTTACATTTTCCATCTTGGGAACCTTGAACCCTGTCCTCTTCTCCCCTGGGCCTACTGGACCTGCTCCTGGCCAGATGTCCTGCCTGCAAGGGCACATGAGGCTGACACTGTCACACATGTCATGGATCACTCAGCTGGGTGCCACTGTGTGAGGGGGCTCTCCGAGAAAGCGCCCAGCTGGCCAGCAAGGCAGGCCCTTCCCTGAGAAATCACCTTGACCCTGTGTCTGGCCTCTGACTCGGAGGGTCAAGAAACATGGCCCTGCTGAGGCAGTGCCCAGAGGTGATTACAGAATTCACCCTGCTGTCACAGCTGATGTAGAGACATCATATCCCCCAGTGTGTATTGTGACAGTTGCGCACAGGCCATCTGCCAGAGAGGGTTCTTCCCCATACACCCGGCTGCGCGAGGGCCCACAGAAGCAGAAGCAGAGCACATCGGGAGATGACGACACAGTGACGGGCAAATTGGGCTGTCCGAGGGACAGCATGCTCCACCTGGCAGGAAACCTGCTCCACCGCCAAGGCAGCTCCTCCACAGACACACCCTGTGTGCCAAGCCCAGCCCTGGGTGAGAACAGCGCTTCTTCTACAGCAAGGCACAGGGCTGAGGCAAGGCCCAACTGCTGCTCTCAAGCTATGGTCATATCCAGAGGAGGGCAGGGATTCTGAGTGTCCCTGTGCACGTTGTCAACACAGCAACTAACATCTGAGGGCAGTTCTCATCAAATGTGTTTCTAACGCATTTCGGGTCCAGGTCCTGAGGGGGCTGTTTGCCACTCTCTGTATATTGCCAGCTCAGGAGGAATCGGCACCCTACCTCACAGTATCAACCCTGGCTCAGTTTTTCATGTCCCATCAGTCTGCGGTACCCGTGGTGGCCAGGCCTAGGTCACCTGCACCTCCTTCCTCAGCCTCCCTCCGGCCAGGGACCACCTTTGCCGCAGTCCATGATCCTTGGGCAGTTTCCACATGGCCCTGGAGGCCAGCTCTCCATCTGCAGAGCTTCCAGACTCACCTATTGTGGGTGGCAGCCTCCAGTTCAAAAATATCGAAGTCCCAGTGTTCTACGTTTTCCATGGCCCAAGCTACTCGTGGTGGGATGTCGTGAAGGGAAACGGGGATGGTTCCGCTGACTGGAACTTGATGGAGAGCTGCAAGTGATGTCATGTGTGGAACAAGATTAATAGGCTGGACAGTGGTAACTGTTCCTCAGAGAGAGCAGCACTGCATCAGGCAGGGCTGCTTTGTTTCTGAGACTATGGCACACAAACTTCTTACTGATGAGAGAAATTATTTTCATCACTTAACCTTGACTACAGTATTATAAGGACCCAAAAATATCAAAACAGAAAACTTACTTTTTGTTGAAAGAACATATTCATTCCCTGATAATCTCCGCAAACCATCCTAATAAAAACCAAAGGGAATAAAAGAAAGCAAAGTTACTGCTATTCTTTCCTCCACAGAAACTCCAGGTGGCTGGCCCAGGGCAGCCTTCCTCCAGCCCCTGCAAGGCTGCCTGGTCCAGCAGGTCCCCAGAGTCCTCACTGTGGCCACTCCCTACACAGCTCAGCAGCCTAACACAGGCCTGGCCTGGCCCTGCCAGACATGGGACACAAAAGCAGGATTGACACCAAGGAGGTGAGCTTGAAGAGGGCCTCTCTAATGCCTAGCATTCCTGTCTCTCACTCCAAGACCACAGTGGTGTCCCAGGGACAATACCCTCTGCCCTTGGTTCTTCTCTACCGTGTTCTTGTCACCCTCCTCACCAACAGTCACAGCCAGGTTTGTTACAGAAAGATTATAATAAGAAAGACAAGAGAACATGGAGGAAAGCTATAAGTGTGTGTGTGTTTGACCAAGGATTGAACTTGGTATCTTGCACTTGTGAGGCAGCAGCAAAGCCACTGAGCTAAATCCCTGGCCTGGAGATATATTTTTGTATGATAAAATCTTTGCCCTGCCAGAAAGAAAGGAGAGAAAACAGTGAAACTAGAAGGCTCAAGTATGTCAGAAAAAGTTTGTGGAGGATGCAGTTTATAAAAAGTAATATATATGTTTGGTTATTTTGATCTTGTGTTCATTGGTTTGGTTGAGCTCAGGCTATTTCTCCTAAAAGCTCCTTTTTGTTCAAAGGAAAGACTTGCAGCTATGGCCTCCATGCTGAGATCATCACTCACTCCTCTCAGGGTCCCACTTCTCCTCTTTGGTCTGACCAATTCTTTAAGACAAAGACTGTAACTCTTTGTCTTTGAGACACAAGCCTTTCTACTGGACAAGCAGGAACACCTAGACTAGTGACAGAAAACAGGGCAGGCTGCACATGTGGCCTAACCTAGTTTTGTTTTCTTTCTTTCTAAAAGTATGATTGTGAGTAACTCAATGTCTATTCTGCTCTCACTGCAATACTGATGTAACTGATCTCTTCTGGGTGTTCAACACCTGGAGGTTTGGAGACCAGAATTAGAAAGATAACTGGGCTAAGAGGACAGCCAGTATTCTGGTCCTGGCCCTCCAAGGTCAACGAAGGATATGAGGGAACATTTTTTACAGGATCTTTACAACTTTAGTGAGTTACTTAACCTCCTGAGCAGGAAGACTGTTGGATCCCTGAGGACAGGAGTCTACTAATATACAATGTGCCAAGAAGGAGGGTCACCAGAGAAAGAAATGTCTTTTATGCTTCCACAGGAAGCTACATGGTCAAGCAAGACCATGACTCATCCTGATGACTGACAGTGACTGAGAAGCTGAAAGGCTCTGTACATGGTTCCAAAAGTAATGCCTGAAGAGCCTTAACTAACTTTGATGGATAACAAGAGGTTAACTTTGATTAACTCAGGTCTCACTTTAACTTGGGTTTAAAGACCCAGCAGAAAAGTATAACCAAATATATATAAAAATAATACCATTGTGGGTCAGGGATTTAGTTCAGTGGTTCTACTACCTGCCTTGCAAGTGCAAGGTCTCAGGTTCGATCCCTGGTACAAAAACAAAAAAACCATGGTAATAAAGGCTAGATATAGAAAGGGGGCTCCAAGCTCTGACACCTGCCAGAAGTTTCCAGCTACCCCTGTAGCCGAATATTGTTATGGTTCAATGAGGCTTGAAAGCTACAGTGGAAGCTATAAAAGCCTAGCAAAAATTGTCCTTCAAAATCCTAAAACTGTCCATCTTTTTACAGCTAAGACTGGAGACTCGTGACAAAGAAATATCAGACTTATAGACAACCTCTATCAGTAGAGAGGTTCAGGAGCCAGTTGGCTACCATCACTATCCCAGTACTTCAATAGCAGTACATAGACAGGGCTCTTTCTTCCAATCTGCCTTTCCATTCTAGTGCTCGTGCTGTGGCTGTACGTGCCTTATCCTCACCTAGTGGCTCCAAACTGCAAGTGATTTTGCAGATGGAACCAAAGACAAAAGTGCCAGACTCGTTTTACCAGGATCCAGTAGATCAACCTTATAAAAAGAGTTCATAACTGCTAAGCTCTAGCAAGACTTCTATCTAAGGCCCTTTAGATTACCTCTCTGGAGAAGACTCCGGTCTCCCCTGCACTGACCCTTCTCAGTTATAAGTAGCTAGATTGAAACTTCACCCATTCTCCCCTAACTGTAGGTAGGGATAGCTCTTCAGAGGGGGAATATTAAAGGCAGCTAAAGTTAGACATAAATTAACATACAGTCAAAGAGGGACTGGGCTCTCAAGGAAGTCAGTGAAAAATAAAGACAACAGAGTTGTGGTTGGAGTTACATCTGAAGAAGGCCAGGCTTCAAGATAAAGATGCAGTGGCCAGACCTTCATGCCTCTCTGAGGGATAAACAGTAATTTGGAATTATCCTATATTTGGTATCACTTGGTCCAGTAGCCTAGAGAGGTATCAGTTGCCCAGGTGGTGACCAGAGAGAGCATCCAGTCCCATCCCATCCCAAAATGCCTTTGTGTTTTCCATGTACCCTAGCTCTGAAGCCTCATTTCCGAATTGGATCAGTATTAGCTCAGTGGCTATACTTGTCATCCTATAGGCTGATTGCAGTTTGACCCATGTTATACCCACACTGTGACTTTGCTGTACAAATTACCGCTGAAAAGGGGTCTCAGGGGTGGTCCACATTCGGGACATTTCCTATCTCTCAGGAGCTCAGTAAACCTTTTAGTCTTAACCTCTGTTGTTCCTTGGAAATCGTTCTTCCATTTCGGGGGACATGAACTTGGTACATCTGACATCTAGAAGGTTGGGAATTAAATCTCTCCTGTATCATTTAGTTTTCTCGGGAACACTGAATTCTTTCTCAGCTTCTAAGTGACCCCGGTTTCCCCTGACAGCCCTCCTGTTCCCCTGCAGCCTTGCCCGAAGTCACGCTCAGATGCTAATCTTTGGCCCACTCCTTATCAGGAGACCCAAACAGGCAAGGCTGCAGGTAGAGTTCACTGCTGGGAGTCACTCTGTCTTCCAAATTACCACCTGAAACCTTTTATGTGATCAAGTGACTTCACAGGAGCTGGAATGGAGGAGAATTTGTTTCTAGCAGCTGACAGACAGTAACAGGGTGATCTGGTTCCTTGTGAGCTCTGCTCCAGAAGGCCTAGGAAGGCATTAGATCCTCTCCTGGTGGCCACTCCTAGATCCTTCTTCACTGTGATTTGGGTGTGACGCATATTCCTCTCTTTGGTGCCTTTTTAAAACCTACATAGCAGAAGAAAGGGTCTTCCTGTTTTGCAATATGGTATCTAACATTCAATATGGGGTTTTTTTCTGCTCCAGTTTTCAAAATATTTAATATAACTAAGAAAGAGTTTTTGTTTGCTTGTTTTTTGAGACAGGGTCTTACTATGTAGTTCAGGCTGGCCTTGAACTCACTGTGATCCTCCCGTCTCTGCTCCCCTAGTGCTGGGATTGTGTATTTGCCCCCACGCCCAGCTAAGAAAGTTTTAAGTAAATAAATTACTGTAAAACCCTAAGTGACACTGGAGAACTGCAGCAGTAGACCATCTACCGTCCTTCTCTGCCCAGGCTGAGGTCCCCAGGTGGTGAGCAGCAGGTGGATGACAGCCCAGCCAGAGAGCTCTGTTCAACAAAGAACCTCAGAGAAAACAAACAAGGACAGGCTCTCACCGGAAGCCTGCTCACATAAACTTACAGACATTAAGCCCCCAACAAGGTCATTGGCATGAGGGTCGTCATCCTTAGCACCAAACTGTGGCGAGTATAGCTCAGTAGACCTGAGGATCTGCAGCACACGGTCCAAGGCCTCTGTCACAGGCACAGGGCTGCTCTCCTGGGCAGTGTTGATGATGTTCATTACCTACAGTAGAGAAAGAAATCCTCAGAAACTATGGGAGAGATACCAAGGTGGCAGGAGTGCTTAACAGTGCTAAGTGAAGTCTAAGTTGTTCTTGTCACACATCCTCTCTCCAACTGTGAGAGCAGCTTTCAAACACCCCTGGGTGTGCTCAGTGGAGACCAACCAAGCATCGCTTCACCTTGGTGATGGGTGCCTCAATGGTCATGGAATGGATCCGGGCCATGGAGGAGTGTCGTCTCTGGCTGGAAACTGTGGAGAAAGGGATTAGAAATCAGGGTATGCACAACACTGGGCATCAGTCCCAACCGCCAAGGGCGCATGACTGCTCTTCCTCTTGGGCAGCTGAGCTTCCTTCCCATGGAAACAGGTGCGGTCCTGGCTAACAACTCTGCTTCCTGCTGTCCTAGGCACTAGGGTGCACTTGTCCCCACAGACCGAACTTCTGATGTCACAGGCCAGAGAGAAAACAGGAGACAATCTAGCAAGTCAGGGCCAAACAGTCTCTGTTTGTGCTGTAACAATAAAGCTTTATGGTTATTCTGCTTGATGCTCTCCCGTACTAAAATTCTTCTGGAAAACAATGCCCCCATGGGTTCTTTGTTCATATATGGCAGGGGCAATAAATTCACCTCACCATGAAAAGAACTACATGAATGCTGGCTACATTTCTCAAAGTCCTCTCTAGTGCTTTGCACTGTTCTGCTTAATCCAAGCTGATTAAGCACCTTAAACACCGCAGGCAGAAGCTCTTAGACTAAATGAGCTAATTTTTATTGCTGCTCCTGTTAAGATGTGGTTCCTCTTGTGGGGAGCCTAGCCAGGCAGAGGCCTGGTGTCAAGGATACCCCACTGTCAAACAGTGATGCTCACTGAAGGGCCAGAACTTGCTCCACAGACTGATGTGTCTGCCTGATGTCACCAGAGAAGAAACTGAGGCCTGAGAACAGACACTGTCCCCAGGAAGCCAGGCTAGGGAGCCAGTAAAACTTCTTAAATCTTGGTGAATAACACTTGGTTACCACCTTTCCATTTTATATAATAAAGTCATTAAACTCAAAATAACCACTATTTAATCACTGTCATAGAAAGACTTATTTTAAAAAACAATGAAAGTGAGACTGGAGATCTAGCTCAGTCGTTCTGCCACCTGCCTCACAAGTGCAAGATCCCTAGTTCAGTCCCTGGTACCAAAAAAGTACAAGTAAAAAAAATGAAAGTGACATATGCTTAGAAGGGTCAAACAACACAGATCTATGCAACATGGTCACTATAATGCTAATAACAATGCATTCCCCCCTCCTTCTTTTAATTTTGGTACCGGGGATCAAACTTGCATCCTTGAGCTTGCGAGGCAGGTGGCAGAACCACTGAACTAAATCCCCGGCCCCAACAGTATATTCTTAAAAACTGATAAGAGCAGATTTGAAGTTTCTCACCATAAAAAGGAAAAAAGGATGAGAAGTAATACATGTTCATTAGCTCAATCGAGTCACTTCACAATGTATGCAGATTTCAAAACATTATGTCATATATGATATATATAATTTTTGTCAACTAAAATAGATACATGGAGATTTTTACTTTTAAAATAATTGGAAAAATCATACTATAAGCTTAAGGTAAGAAAAAGAAACAACAGATAAAAGATTGTCATGATTATCTTACAGAGAGCCCCAAAGAATCTACTAATGCTCTTCTTATAGGCAATAAGTAAATTTATCAAGGCTGAATGTAAGATAAATATACAAAAACCCACTATTTCTATATATTATAACAAACAAATGGAAGTTAAAATAAATACCATTACAATAGCAACAAAAACTATCGATATGTAAGAATAAATCTAATGAAAGATTTATAAGATTTCGATAATGAAAATGCAAAATACTGCTGAGAAAAAATAAAAAGGTCTAAATAATTGGAGATACAGCATCTTCAAAGTTTCAATGGCTCAGTATTAAGATTTTAATAACGTGAAAATAATCTACAGATTCCAGGCTTGTACCCACCTCCAAAAAAGAAAAATTCTGGGAGGGTGTGTGCAAATAAGCTAGTTCTAAGTGCTATATGGAAATGCAGAGGGCCTAAAATAGCCATGAACTGAAGAACAAACATTCACCGCCAACTAGCAAGATGTGCTACAAGGCCATAGTGAGTCCAGACCAGCAGAACAACGGGGGCAGAGCAGCATCCAGAAACAGATTACATAACCCTAGTCACCTGATCTAGAGTGAAGGTGCTCCTGCCAAAGATGATTTTTCAATATGTTGATGGGTCATCTGGGTTTACGTGGGAGTATAAGAGGGAATTCATCTCTGGTTTGTTTTTCCACTGCCCTCTTTTATTTTTTCATAAATTGGGTTTACTGGTACAGAACAGTGTCTTTCCTGATCTAGACCTTAGCTTCTCAAACTGTTGTTGATCAAAACATGGTATGATTCTGTTGAGTTCATTTTCTGGTGCTTCTCTTTTTAAGTGCATTATTTTCTTACTTGGAAAAAAAGGTTCCACTTCTGGAATTAAAGTTTTGCATGTTCTAAAGTTGATTTCATCCTCCCTTCCTCAGCATGCTCTGTTTGGCATGATTGACACAGTGCATGTACTGGTTAGCCAGAGCGGAGCAGCTGAGGGTCTGGTGGATGTTCTCACAGTAACACAGGAGGATTTTGGCCTGCAGATCAGCACAGACAGGATGATACTCATACCACTTGGCCTTTGCTTCTACTTCAGCAGCTTTCTGATATTGCTCAGTGGTAACTTTGTAGAACTCTGAACCCTTCTCTTCCAGCTGCTTAGCCAAGTGCTTTGCCTTCGAGCATTCTTAATCACTTAATATCCTCTCTTGAATGATAGCTCTGGTTAGCTGCTCATTGGTCCAGGTCCTTGCTTTTCTTTAGTTGTTTCTGATTCTCAGAATCCTTCTTGGCTTGCTCCAATGCCAGTTCTTCAGCCACTCTTCTTTTCAGTCTTCATCAGACACTGAGGCACCATAAATACCAGAATATCCCTGAGACTTCAAACCAGATAGGGAGGATTCTTCAATACATGAATTACATTTTCTGAAAGCCGGATGCCCTTCACCGTGGTGATGTTCTCATTCTCATCTGCCTCGAAGGTGACCCAGCGGGTGCTGGCGGTCCCGCCCATGGCTCCTGCCTCTGTCCTTGCAGAGTCCTATTGGACCCATGAGCACATCAGGGCCCCTGCGCACACACACAGGTGGAGGATGGGACACTTCCCTTGCCCAGCAGGAGCAAGGCCACAACCCCAAGAAACGGGAATTCATCTTTGATCCCTACTTACCCTTAGTAACATAAAAATCAATTTGAAACGGACCACAGATTTTTTTTTTCAATTTTGTATTAGTATGTGCTGGCATTAAAGATTTCTACGTCTTCATTCTTTTGTCATCCCCTTTCCTCCCCTCCCTTTCCACTCTATCTCTTGATCTTCTCATTTGAAAAAGATTTCTGTACTTTCTTTGTTCATTTATATGTTGTGTTTCTCATATAGAAGAAACTATGCAATATTTAAACTTGCGTGTCTGATTTATTTCACTTAACACTGGTTTCAAGGTACGTTCATTTTTCTAAAAATGACTCAAGTTTATCTTTCTTTATGGCAGGAGAGGACTCCCTTACGTGTAAACACTACATTTTCTTTATCCATTCATCTATTGATGGATATATATATGCTGCTTCTGAGATGTACCTATTATGAGTGTGCTGCTATAAACATGGGTATGCATATAGCACTGTAATATGATGTCTTTAACTCTTTCAGGAAGATACACACAGAAGGGGAATAGCTGAGTCAAATAGAATTTCTATTTTTAGTTTTTTGAGGAAGCTTCACACTGATTTCCATTAGTGATTGTGCTAGTTTACATTCCCACCAACATAGTAGAGCTCCTTTTCCCTGAATTTTTGCCAGCATTTGTTATTATTAGATTTTTTAGTGGTAGTTATTCTTTCTGGGGTAAGATGGTAACTCACTGTAGTATTTTTTTTGGTACTGGGAATCAAACTCAGGACCTTGAGCTTGCCAAGCAGGTGTGGTACTATTGAGCTACATCACCAGCCCACTTACTGTAGTATTAATTTGCATTTCTCTGATGAGCATTTTTTCACGTATTTATTAGCCATTTGTACTTCTTCTGAGAAGTGTCTATTCACTTTGGCTGCCTATTTTTAATTGGGTCTTTTATTTTGGGGGAATCTTGATATTAGTCCTCTGTCTGCAGAATACCTGTCAAAAAAATTTCCCCATTCTGTAGTTTGCCTCTTCATTCTGTTGGTTGTTTCCTTTGCTGTACAGAGGTTTTTAATTTGATATGATCCCACTTGTTGACTCTTGGTATTATTTCTTGTGCCACTGGAGTTCTATTCAGAAAGCCCTTGCCTATGCCTATGTCTTCAAAGCTTTTAACTATTTCATCTTCTAGCAGACTTAAGTATTTTAATAGTTAGATCTTTGATCCATTTTGATATTAGATTAGTACATGGTAAAATATACTGTGGGTCACCCATTTTAAATGAAAGATAAAACAATAACACATTAGAAGAAAATATGGAAGAGTATGTTCATGACCTTGGGATGGAGAAAGATTTAAGTGACATGCAAAAAAGCACTTCATTAAAATTAAGGCCCTCTTTTCCTCAAAAAACACTCTTAAGAGAACAAGTGACAAACCTGGACTAAGAAAATATATGTGCAGCTGGGCATGGTGCTGCAGGCTTGTAATCTCAGCATTCAAGGAAGACTGCCATGAGTTTGAGGCCATCCTGAACTACAAAGTGAAACCTGGTCTCAGAAGGAAAAAAATATATACATTCAATAGAGAGCCCATATCTAGAATATGTAAAAAACTTACAAATGAAACAAAAAAGATAACCCAATTCTAAAAATGGGCAAAAATCTTAACAGCACCTCACAAATGAGGATATGTCAAAGGGCAACAAGCATATGAAAAGGTGCTCAATCTCATTAGTCATAAGGAAAATCAAAACTGAAACCATCAGAATAGCTAAAATTTTAAATGTTGATATTTTCATAGTTTAGTGAAGGACAGTAACACAGCATGACCTACACTGAACTGTTTGCCCTGTACTCCTGGGCAGGAGGTGAGCACTTGTGTCCACCAAAAATGACTTGTGTAAACCCATGGAGCCTTACTCCGAACAGTCTCAAGTGGAGACCCCCCAAATGCCCATCAATAAGTGAAAAAGCAGACAAACTGTATACTCAGTAGGGACTACTACTGAGTGATACGAACAAAGGGATGAATTACTGATACGCCTAGCAATGTCAGTGAAAACACTAACATGAGTAAAAGAAATCAGTTGTGGTACTGCACACCTGTAATCCCAGCACTGGGGAGGTTGAGGCAGCAGAATTGCTGTGTATTTGAGGCCAACCTGATACAAAGGGAGTTCAAGGTCAGCCTGGAATATACAGTGACACCCTATCTCAAAAACCAAGGGAAGCCACACATGGTGGCACATGCCTGTAATCCCAGCACTTGGGAGGCTGAGGCAGCAGGATCGCTGTGAGTGGGAGTCCAGCCTGGGCTACATAGTGAGTTCCAGACCAGACCAACTAAATAGTGAGACCCTGTCTCAAACAAACAAACAAACAAAAACCAAGGGGGAAAAATAGTGAAAGATGTCTGACACAAGAGTGGCTATAAGGTGACTCCAATTCCATGAAGCACAAGAGGAGGCCAAATTTGATTAGGGCATAAGAAATCATCATTTGCCTTTGTGTGAACAGTGTGTGTGTGTACTCTGTCTACCATGGGTGGTGGTTATAGCAGCATAGAATTATCAAAACTTGAATATTTGATATCTGAATTTTCCGGTACATAAATTATAACCTTTTATAAATTAGTTTTTAAAACAGCACAACAAAAGAAAAGAAGAATGTTTAAAATGCAGAAAGGTATAGAGGAATCCAAGGGGTTAGTGGAAGCTCCAGGGTGGTAACTTCAGGGTAAAGCGGGCGGAGGCATAAGGAGGATCACCGCAAGGAAAAGAACTGCAGTAGCTGACACTGATGCTCCCCCGTCCCGGCACCACGTGCTCATGTCATCCTCACTTGATCCTCTGGGCAGTGTGCTGTTATCCCTATCTTGTACACATGGCAATGGGAGACAGATGTCCATACTCAAGGTTCCACAAGGAGGAGATGAAGCTGGGACGTGAACTGAGGTGCGTCCCTGCCGGCAATGCCCTCCCCCTGGCAGTGGACCCAGCTCATGCCATGTGTAGCCACTGTCTGAGCCTCCTCTACACCTGCCAGGGACACAAGGCAGATGTGACCTCAGCCGAGACTGTCTGGAAAAGCTTGGCTACCAAATGAGCCACAACACTAGCTCGTCATCTTTCCTATTCATTCATCTTTGGGCCAAAGAGTGCACAAAGCAGGCAGTAATGCTTGCCTCTACACTCTCTAGAAGCAGTTTTGATCACATTAAAAACTAGGTCCCTCAGGATATAAACCTATATCTTTTACACAATTATGTTTCAAGTAAACAAGTATTTGCTTAATGAGTTTCTCGCTTTTTCCAAATTGAGCTTATCCCTCCCAAAAGATGCGGCTTCCATGGAAACTGCAAGCCATGATGGAATGTGTCGTTCAGAATTACCAAATGCACTGCTCGTGTAATTACAGTGCACTGACTGATGATACCTGCTGTTACAGTTTAGAAAACCAATATGCAAGTTGTCATAAATGTTTCAGTTCTTGTTCTTTACTCTTATTCTCTGGCTCCATTAGAAGGCCCAGAGTGGAGTCCATAGGGTGAGGGAAAAGGTTCCTAGGCCTCTGCTCGCCAGAATGTGAAGCATGGGTGACCAGAGAGGAAACTGAAGGGCGACATGGGTCCTCTGTTCAGCCTAGACCCTGTCCTACTCTCTTCTCTGGTCCTTGTCACTCACCTTCATTTGCTTTCGAGGAAACAGATTTGACATCCAGCGAGCCTTTCCTTCTGTCTTTATGTTTGCCCATTTGATTATCTAGAGAAACAATTAAGGAGAGATGTTAAAGACATTAGCAAAGGAAACCAAGCTAAGTACTTTTAAAGCCAAGACTTTTAAGCCCCAAGAAGTAGAACAAGCAAATCAGCACAGTGCGGTCAGAGCCGAGGGCTGTGCACCACCCCAAGACAGGCAGTGACACAGGAGAAGGGCTGAGGCTGCGGGGAGTTCCTCCGGTGTGCTTCCATGTATTTGAACAAGATGGTAGGGATTTTGATCCCTCATCCATCCTTGCCCCAAGGGGAAAAAACGCACTTAATTTTTTCCACAGCATCCCAGGGCAGAACAACTTCCCCTTCCTAGGGTGGTATGAAGATGCTTTGGGGTGTGTTTCAGAGACAGCTGATCCTGCCTCCCCTTTTTCTGTGGAGGCTGCTGCTCTCTTAGGTTCCAAAGAGGCTTCCTGCCTTTCCTTTGGGCACTGGCTGGGTGTCCCCTGTGATGCACGTTGTGTCCCCATCTTACAGCCAAAGAAACGTAACCAACCTGTAGGTGGGCGCAGGGCAGGGTGGGCACTCTGGCTGGCTCTCCCCAGGGTCCCCTGGCCGCCTTACCTGGCCTCCTCCTCTGCCCAGAGGACCTCGTGCTGGCCCCATCTAGATGCTTTCTCACCTGCCCTGGCTTCTAGGCAAGCTAGCGCCTCGTCTCTGTGGCACCAACAGTGAATGTGTCAGGGTCACAGCGAGTTCCTTGTTCTTGACTGACAGACACAGCCAATCCAGACACTCAAGCCTGCAGAATCCACTCTCCTGGTTTTTCTTCTATCTTACTCATTTTGTTCATGATTTCCTCTTCTTCAGCCCCCACACCCCTCAGTATTTCTTCTTCTTTTTTATTTTTTCTTTCTTTCAGTACTGGGGGTCAAACTCAGGACTTGATGCTTGACAGGCAGGTGCTGTGCCACTGAGCTAAATCCCCAGCCCACCTCCTCAATATTTCCAATGGTTGGTTTCGTATCAGTTCCTCACCCTGACCTCTGTGCCTTGTGTGGGCACACACCTCTCCCATGCCACCTTCCTCACCTAGAGGGCTCTGATGTCCTGTGATGATGCAGGCACCACATGCCTGCTGGAACCTTCCTGTCAGGCCCCACACACTCCAGGAGTGTGGGGTGACAGCCAACCGTCAACCACCTGAGGGCAGGGAGTCTTCCCTGGGTGACCAGCACTGTACGTAGTCAGTAGCCAATGCTCAGTAAACACTGTCTGCTTTAGCAAACACCTGCATGTTCCTCTGCACCTGCTCAAAGTCCTCCAGTGTCTCAGACAGAAGAGCAACTTCCTGGTGTTGGAGGACAGGCACCTGTCCTGTAACAGCAGCCTTTCCTCTCCCTCAGTCATTACCTCGTGTGCGCCGCACTGGGCAGCCTTGACATCCACTCCTTCTGCCAGTGACATGACACTGCCGCCACTCACATGCTCCCTCCTCCAGTCCCATCGCTTCCCACCTGTGTGGAGTCGCAGTGTCTCTCCCTTCTCTAAGCTCCATGTCAACTCCTGCCCATGCAGCTGCCTGGTGAGACTGTGCAGTGAACTGCGCTCTGCTCCCGCTGCACCATTCAGCATTTACTGGGCACCTACCCTGTGCCAGGCCGAGACTGGTGGGACAGTGTGGATCGTGAATGTCCCCCAAAGGCTCGTGTCCCTGGGGGGTGGAGCCTTTAGGAGGTGGGGCCTGGTGGAAGACACTGGGACCCCAATCCCTTCCTCTTCTCTCTGCTCCCTGGCCATGAGGCAGCAGTGCTGCTCCACCACACTCCTGCCACGTTTCCTGTCCACCACGGAGTGAAGCTTCTAAAACCACGGGCCAAACAAAACCCTTTCTCTGTATGAGTTAATTATCTTGGGAATTTTGTTAGTGACAGGAGGCCGATGAACACACCAGCATTAGGGATGTGAAGATGAATAATGCACTATGCACAGGCCTGGGGGATGGTCTTGCGGGGAACAGGGCAGGGAAGGCTCTGTAATGGTTCTGAGGTGCAGGAGGAGCACGGGGGTGGGGTGCGGCGGGGAGGAGGTAGCTGAGCTAGAGCCTGTAGAACAGCCAGGAGGAGGAGGAAGGCTGTTCAGATGGAGCAGGGTGTGGCAAGAGAGAAGCAAAAAGCAATGCTCACCAAGGATGGGCTGCAGCAAGAGTGGAAGGAGAGGAAGCAGATTTAATTTGTACTGAAACTTTTTTTTGGATGGTACTGGGGATTAAACACAGGGCCCTTGCACTGAGCTACTGAATCTCTTTTCATTTATTTTTAAAATTTTTTCATGTTGTTATTGTTATTACTATTTTGTGCTACTAGGGATTATACCACTGAGCTATATCCTCGGCCCTTTTTAAATTTTGAGAAAGGGTGTCACTAAATTGCTGTGTTGTTCAAGGTGGGCTTGACCTTGCCATCCTCCTGACTCAGCCTCCCAGGGTACTGGACCACCATACCCAGTCCCTATGGAAGCATTTAAGAGTGTGAAGCTAGGCCAGGCATGATGGTGCACACCTGTAATCCCAGAATTTGGGAGGCCGAGACAGGATTTCTGTGAGTTTGAGGCCAGCCTAGGCTACACAGTGAGAGCGCTTTGCCATCACTCCACCCTCCTCAGCTGTGAGGCCCAGAGTGGGAAGTGGCTTGCTGAAGCCACAATATGTTGGGAGGAAACAGGCTAGGGAAATGAATCTGCAGCAACACAGGTGTGGGGCAGGCACACAGTACTCACGAAACCCTTAGGAGACATGAGATGAGGCAGGCCTGAGGGGCCCAGCTCCTCACAGGCTGCCATTGGTGACCATCCCTGTGAGAGTCGGCCTGCCTCTTACAGCACAGACCAGGCTGTACAGCAACACCGCACTCTACACGCCTTCACACAAGGCACACCCCAGAGTCTGTGGTTCTCTCCCCCAGGCTGTAGCCCTTGCAGGGCACCTGCCAGAACACTCACAAACACTCAGGTCCTCTGACTCCTTGATGACCCTGGGGCTGCCATGGTGCGAGGAGAGAGGGGTCTCGCCATGGCACCAGGCAGGCTTGTGACGGGAAGGATTTGATTTCATTTTTTTCTTACAAAAGTTTAACAAACACTAAGAAGGAGTAAGTGCACCATACCTGTATGAATGTCAGATTGAACACACTCAGGTATTTTCTCAGCCTAAAAATAAATGTTAAAAGCCATTAGTTCTGATCCACAGCAAACCTCCCTGGGGTGTGCCTGTCCCAGGACCCCCTACCTACCTTACTGTTTCCATTGCACACTCGGATAATGGACACATAGTGTCTAATTTTTCTGCAAATAGAAAATAATGCATTATTTCTCTCCTGACTCTCATTTGATGGACATGTAATTAATTTTTTTATCATGAAAAGAAAATCTCTTAAAATACATACGCAAGATCCCTTGAGAGTATTTTTATTTGGGGGGGGTCAATACCACTAATAAATGAATGAGAATTCATAAACATCCTCTGTTGTCTCTGAAGAAGGGATTCCAGTAAAACAAAAAAAATTTTTCCTCCAGTCATCACAACAACAGACAATAAAGTCATATTTTAAAAAACTGTATTCTACACTAACCAACCAAGAGCCTTTAGTGTCTTAACATGCTCTCATTTCCACAACCCTTCATATGAGGCTCGTCCTTTGAGGGCTGGTGAGCAATTTGCACCCAGCTGGGGCTGAGGCTCCACTGACCAGGGGCTGCCTGGACATCCAAATAAAATGAATGGCAGGGCTGAGATCAGACTTCCCATTTATTTATTGTCCCTTGAGTCTTTCTACTTTCCTCCTCTGATAATCAAAACCCTATATGCTCATCACAGAAAATTTGGAAAGGATGTAAAAGGAAACAGACTCAGAACAGAGAGCCCGCACAGACCCATCTGCCTGAGCAACACTGTCAGCACAGAAGGCTGCACCCAGTGCCATCACACACAGCAGCCTGGGCTGGGACCAGAACCCACAGCTCTGTAAGCCTCAGCTTCCTCACCTGTAAAATGGAGACAAGCACAGCGCTACCCTCACAGTGCCGCAGGTGGGCCGATGTGAAACCCAGGTGGGGAAGGACGGGCACAGGGGACAGCAGCCGCTTCTGGTCCACCAGTGCCACGGTTCCTCCTACTCTTTCCTTTTCAGGGCTGAGATCATACACTAGGTCTGACTTCACTTTTTGCATTTAACATCATAATCATAAGCTTTTTAAAAATTCTTATGTGAAAATAAAATTTCATAACCAAATAAAATAAGAATAGCTAAAATATATATAAAATTTTTTAAAAATATAAGGAGCCTACCAGTCAGCATTCTTATCACACAGTTTAAAAAATGGACATTCTGGGCTGGGGAGTTAGCTCAGTGTGCCACTGCCTGCCTCACAAGCTCAAGGACCCGAGTTCGATCCCCATACCAAACAAACAAAAAAAAAAAACTGACATTCAGATTTGAGTATAAATACTTCAGTCTCTTGTGGATCGATGCAGCTTAAATAAGACTGTCAGAACCAGACTGTAGATGAGAGAAAGCCATCAAGAAAATGCCACCCGGAGGCCATCCTGTGATGGCACCTGCCTTTTAAACTTCTGAACTTACCTAAGTATTCACAGAAAAATTTGTAATAACCCAAATATGGAATGCTGATTGAGGCATTTCCTCCCCACTTACCCTCCCTGTCCAACAACAGGTATTATTTTCACATTTTGCTGTATATTATCTCCATTTTTCTTTCTGGTGTGGTAAATGCCCTGCCACTCCTATAAATGGAATTAAGCATCATTAGTCATACTTTGTGTCAAAAACATAAAACATAAATTCAAGAACATTTTCCACTTCAGTCCTGACTCACTTACCATTGCTAAAGCAATTAGGATTCAAAATGATCCCGATCCCAGAGCCGCCATCGCTCAAGCGCTGGGAGGTAGGCCACCCCATCCACCGCGGGAAGGTGAACCACGCCTGCTCCCGACCCAGCCGCCATCGCTCAAGAGCTGGGAAGGTAGCCGCGAGGGTGCCCCTGAACCCCCATAACCCCCGCACTCTCAGACCTCCTGACCGTGCAAGTCTTTGGACCCACTCTGCAAAGACAGAGATGATCATCAAGGGTATTTTTCTGAGTTCCCAACTTTGAACATCTTTAAAGAAAGG